GAAAGAAGAAAGAAACCAAAACCCCCAACCAAATCTCCCAAAATCCCAGAAAACAGATTTTCTAAATCTGTACAAAAAGAGCCGTTGGGCGATAGGCGGTCGACCGTGAGAATTTCGAGGTCGACCGCGCAAGTTTTTAAAACAGGCGAAAAATTTCTGTTTTGTCTACGGTCGACCGTGGGCAACCCAGAAGTTTTTGTAATCAGTTCGGTCGACCGTGACGGTCGACCGCAGGAAGCCCAGAGCTTACTGTAATTGATTCGGTCGACTGCCACGGTCGACCACATTACTTAGAAGCAGGTTCTAGACCTGAAACCCTAGCGCGGTCAACCGTGGCGGTCGACCGCGAACTGATACAGCTGATATATGATAAAAAAACATATTTTGACACTTTGAAAATTTTGTAAAAAACTCTCAAAAGATTTCTAAGATTTGTAGAGCTTTGTAAAATGTTTTTAATCATAGAAACAAAGTGTTTAGAAAAGGAATTTGCAAATAGATACTCATATTTGTTAAAATACATGTTTTGACAAAATTATCAAAAATATGAGTATGAAAATGTGTGTGTGATATCTCATTAGCTTCAAATGAAATCTACAACTACTTGCCTACAATTTAGCTTTAGAGAAAAAATAAAAATAGCAAATAACTCTCACATAGAATTACATTTCTTGAGTCTTGATATTGCTTTAGAGTTGATGAAGCTTCTCATTGTGTATAGTGTTCTTGATAAACATTGCTTCATCACTTTGCCTCCACCTTCTTGAGATATTGTCGTTGTAGCTCATATTTCATCCAATCCTCCATATATGGTACTAATAAGCTTGATATTTATATTATCTATAATATCACTCAATAAGCAATTAGTATCGATAATGATGGTTGTAAATCATCATTAAAACATAAGGGCTAACAGGTAGCAGCCACGTTAGAAGAGGGGTGTCTTGTTTTTTCCACATAATAAGGAAAAACGGAATTGTACTATTCAAAATGAAAGATGATGCAGTAGAAAATTCACAAGCGCTTGGAGACTTCGCCCAGTGGGCAGCTTATAAAAAAGTATGATATCCGTCCGTGACAAATACCTGTTTTTACACAAGGTCATAGATAGCAACGCATACGATATTTTTAGAGTTAGCACTTGTGAGATTCGCTACGATACTTAAAGACTATGATTTCGATTCAAATGAGATTCAACCAGAAACACAGTTCATCAAAGACTGCCTCGATTAAGATTCTTGATCAGCTTCTTTCTAATAAACCCATTAAATTGGTCTCTTAATAGGTATTAAAATACAAGGTTAATCGTGGATACACAGCCTCTGTAATATAGGCATTTAGACGCTTATTATTCTTGAATTTTATTTAACACTTGGGCCATTTGATGTCCCAATGGAATTTTCTCTTTAGCATCTCTAGTCTCGTGGGTATCACGTGATGTCAATATGTGATGTCAATGTATTACAGAGAGATCCGCTTACACACAGTGTGTCACGGAAACAGATCCCGTAGAGGTGGTTAACGTACATCCCCGTTGAGAGAGAACTTTATTTCAGAATCAAGAGCCTGAATGCTATTAAGTAATTAGTAAATAATTACACCCTCATAATACAGAGAGCCCCTTATAGTACAGAGGCCATAACTGCAATTAATCCTAACAACTATCAACAGCTCTCTTGAACTGGTGATGTTCCGATCTTGCAAACCAGAAGACTAATAGCCTAGAACAATATTTGGAGTTACAATTCACGAAATGACATTGAATTTTACTGAACAATGTGGAATTTTACCAGTACCATAAAATAGAGAATATGAAGAATCACCTGGTTACGATATTAATAAACCTGATGATGATATTTATAATGAAACGAAATTACACGTGGAACTGGAACCACCTAATAATACATGGCCATGAGCAAGGCGTCATGGAAAAAAGAGTTCTCTCTCTGAAACCTGAGCCATTTCAATAAGCATTCAATCAGTTTAAGTTAACCGGCTAATAACTTACAGAATTGGTCAGGGATTAATATAACATTCCTACTAAAACTCTTCCTCTCTACTGCCAACGCTTTCCATATTTCGTGGAAGATGGTGTTGCTTGATTAGTGGTGCTTTTCCTAATACCTGGAATTTGCAAGAGATTTCATGAGAAATTATGAATTTGAAGATTAAAGAGATAAATTATGAACTCGTTACTTTCACTCTGTACAAAAGTAACAAAACATTATCAGGTATGATAAGACTATTGAAAATGGTATATGGTAGTTTTCCCTGACTAAAAATATTAAGGTAGTTTTGTGCAAAACAGCCAAAAGTTCATGATAGTTTTGTGAAACTTACGCAAAGAGAAGAGGCACTTGTTATGTTTGAGCCAGATAGTATGCGTAAATTGTCAATTAAAGGAATACCATGCACAGATGGGCAATTTAAAGAGAAATGCCCTTTTCTCCAGTTGGGTTTTTTCCCTAAACAACAAAATTATCAATGTCGTGACGAATTATATCCACTCAGGCTACTGCATTTTGTTTCGACGCCTACCAATCCCCGGAGAGATTACTGTCTCTCAAGCATATAGAGGTTTGCCACATGAACATGATTCAAATGCTAGAAAAAAAGTACCAACCACAAGCCTAAAATAAGTATGGTACAGAATTAAACTAGCAAGCAAAAAATACGCACTTGAACTCCTCATGCTTTCCTTCTCCCTGATCCTCATCGATGTTGTTTGCACAGCCCTTTTTGGTGTTGGTCTTGGTACTTGAGATGGGACAAACCTGCATTTATGCAGTGTTACAAAGGTTAACCTATAAGAAAGAGATGGGAAAACCATACAGAACAAAGAAAAATGTATTGTTAAATTACAGTCCTATGCAAATAAGCTATTTTTATTATACTTGTAAAAAATCTACTAATATTGCAAATTAAGTTGCACAAAATAGACTATAAGTTCTACACCTTTGTACTGTTAGAGAAAGGGATGCCATAAGCCAAAAATTAGTTTAACTCTTTATGTTCAGTCATGTAAGGTAAAAACCGTAAAATAGAAACAGACTATCTAGGACTTTCATCCTCATTTTCCCAAGAAAGTGCCCAGCATTCCTAATCCATGGCATTAATGGTACATTAAAGGGAAATCAACCCTTGAATCAGTGTTTTAAATGTCGGCCGACATGTCGGATTTAGGGGCAAACCGATACGATATGGAGCTTTTCAATGCGTATTGCGTTTTCAGAGTTCATGTCGGATATATCGGGCGAATATGTCGGGTGATATATCAGTTATGTCGGCCGATTTTTCAGTTTGAAAATTTGGCTGATGTTATTATTTTTTTGATTATATTTATCTAATCAGGTTTGAGTTTAAATTCTTGATTGTCTTAATATTACTTCCAAAGACAAAAACCGATAAGTCAAGGGAAATGGAAAAAAGACCAAAGTAATATCCATCACTCATCTTCTCCCTCTCCTTCGACATCTCATCGGTCTCTTCTCTGAGCCATTCCTTCGACATCAATATCGAGTGATCTTCTTTTTCTTAACCGCTAATATCGGAGTCCTCTTTTTTACCTCTTTCCTTCAACATCAACCCTAGCATCATAAGTTATTTACTCTTCTATATGTTTAGACAATAGAACTTTTTAAGTCTGTTTAGATTTTATTTATGATATTTATATTACACGTGCATATCATCCGATATGGCAATCCGATATTTTTTTCATGTCCCCGATATATCCCCGATTTTCGCTATCCGACATGAACCCGACACTTGACATTTAAAACATTACCTTGAATCACTAGATTTGAGGAGCGATGGTCCAAGGGTTGATATTCCTTGGTGCAAAATTAATGCCATGGCCTGGGTCAACAGGATACTTTCCATTTCATACCCTATGGCTGAACAATGCAGCTCAAACTCCCAAATCACGACCCAGAAGAACACACATAAAAACACAAACACAAGTGATGAACTTAAAATCAAGAAGAAAACACCTATCAACTGCCAAACTACTAAATGAAAATGTACCAGGAGTTGCTGAGCATTCGCTCCCACTGAAAAGGCATATTAGATAGGGGTTTTTTATTTAAATCTTCCTATTTTGACATTAGTCCCCCGAATATGTTAAATATTTTGAAATTAGTCCCCCAATTCTTTCAATCTGGTGCTAACTAGAGTAACTAATATCAAAACACTAAGAAGATTTGGGGGACTAACTTCAAAGTACTAAAAGATTAGGGAGAATTATTTTAAAATATGAAGATTTGGGGGAATATCTTCCAAATAAGAAAGATTTGGAGGACTTACATATTGAAAAAAAAAACACGACATTCATGAAAGAAAATATAATCAGCTGAAATTCCAAGTTACTTACATCTTCTCCTTTGTGACATCTCTGCAATGCTCTGTGAACAAGGGGAGCTCCACAGAATTGTTCTACTTACATCTTCTCCTTTGTGACATCTCTGCAATGCTCTGTGAACAAGGGGAGCTCCACAGAATTGTTCATTAAGCTCTCATTTTCTGCTCCTACGGATAAACAACTATCTGATACGTCACTTAATCTTTCATCTGAATCAAAATCTGCAGAAAAGTTTCGACCAATGTCCCCTCCATACAGCTTTTTTAGTTCTGAAATTTCATTTCCATCCATAGACTGTCGGGGACTAGCCTCGGAATGCTTGTCACTGTTATCTGAGGAATTCCCAGGATCTGAAGCAGACCTTTGAAAAGGAACCGCTGCCCTTCGGCTAGACGATCTCCGCTTGTGTTGGGTGGCAAAATCTAGCAGTGAAAGTCCAGGAGAGGAGGACGATAGCCTCAATGAGTTGCTCCCATGTCTTTTGCTGACACCAGGAGACTGATTTCCCATATCTTTAAGCAATTGCAAACGTTGAGTTGCTCCCATGTCTTTTGCTGACACCAGGAGACTGATTTCCCATATCTTTAAGCAATTGCAAACGTTCAATTTCCTCATCTTTCCTTGCCATTTTCAGGAGACTGATTTCCCATATCTTTAAGCAATTGCAAACGTTCAATTTCCTCATCTTTCCTTGCCATTTTCCCCTTAAGTGAAGCCACCTGCATTGACAAATACCATCAACATATACAAAAAGAGACAGAAACTTAATGATAGCCCAAGCCATAGATAGTAAAGAGGTATTGCAGTTGAGAACAATGCCCAAAGGGCATGTTGCTACAAAAGCTGAGAGTAAGACGCAACAGGCTTTTAACCACGTTACCCCCTTATCTCTCACCTGTTCACCCTCCCGGCCTTCTTTGTGGAATACCCAGCCTTCCGGTGCATGCGATGCACGTATGACACATAATGAGGGGGAGTGGTGAAGTCTAATTGTCAAGAGAATGGATGGTTTATTAGGTTGTTTGGAATTTACCAAGTGTGAGGGCATTTCAGTTGCTTTTTCAAAGGTGAGGCACCAAGCGCGTTTCCATTATCTTTTCCAAGCATGAGGGCACTTCTGTTGATTTTTCCAAGTGCAAGGGTGTTTTCTTTGAGTTTTCAATGTATTAAGGCATTTCCGGAATTTATACCCTCGAGGAGATCACCAAAAGAAGGGGTTTTCTGAGGTAAAAATTATAGATTAGATAATCCTCAAGAAGATCATAAGTAAGGGCTTTAATCTAGCTAGCTTTTGACTGAAACTAATTTCAAATGGCCAAGTTGATAGTTTTTGGCTGACATTTTAGACCTTGGATATCCTGTTAGATAATAGGTTTAAGAGAACACACAAGTTGTACAAATTGGGTAATGAAGGCAAAAGGTTGAAAGTGTTAAACTAAAGCAGCCATTCAAGATTTTTTTCGTTGGATTTCAATTCCTGTAAAGATAACATTCTACTGTAGTAATTACTTAGGACAATAGGTTGGCCGATTAAAACTGAAGTTGGAATGGCTAGTGGCTCGCTTACTAATGATGATTCACTCCCCTTCAACTAAAACTTAAGCTGGAAACTTCTGTCACCCAATGCTTTAGAAACCCCTAGGCAGTAGGCACTTCTAGGCGCTGGACCATGTGCCTAGAGTCTAGGCACCTTGGGGGCGCTTAAGCGAAACCTAGTCCATTTAACATCAAGCGAGGAAGGATTCTTTTTGAATATGCGAAAATCATATTTTTGTCGTTTACCTAAGATGGACATGATATACAGTTTCAATCTGGTCTATTTTGACTTGGATCCTCTTCATTTGTTAGACCGTTACTATGCCTAAGCGAGCAATATACCCTTTTTGATGCGGTGCAGTCCACATAAGCATCCCATATGCTCCTCTAGGCGCTTCCAAGACCAAGGAGGCCTAAGTACTGCTTAGGCCTAGGTGGGCACCTAGGCTGACGCGTAGACTGCTTTTTAAAAACATTGTTGTCAGCTAACAATTAGGGTCTGCAAATATACAGACACCATGCAGAGAGAGAAGTTGTATTTCTAAAGGAGAAAATAACTGCATCTTTTATGCCCTTTTTACTTTAAATAAAGAAAGGATATATGTGAAGCCCCAACGTTTGACCCCTTTTTTAAGCTAGATATCCTACAGTTCTATTTTGACTAATACCCCAAAGTTCTCAAATTGACGTTAGTTTGACAATTTGAAACCCCCAAAGCCCTAAAATTGTTCCTTACTTTCCCCCAAATTCGAAAAGCTAAAATTTGGTAAGAAAATACGTTCCTCATTCACTGTTCCATTTAACATTCAAGAGTCGGCATTTTGGCACTTCAGGGTATCAAATTGTAAAATAGAACTTCAAACTAACCAAGTTAAAATGAGGTGAAACTTTGAGGTCTTAAAGTGCAAATAACCCAACAAAGAATAATAAGCATGTAATGGAAAAGATGACATTTGATTTCAATAAAGATAATAATGAAACATTCTAATGCTTAGAGGGTGGCATTAGAACCTGTTCCATCAGGTCTCTGATATCCTTGCTCTCTTTGTTGCTTCGTGCGGCACCTAACTCAACTCCTGATACCCTTTCAGCAAACTTCAAGGTACTAAAAGTTTCTGAATATGATTTTACATCTGGGTTAATCTGTACGAACATAAGTGTTTTTGCTTGTCCACCTGTATAACACAGAAATGAAAAATGTAAAATAGATATGCAAGGCAATATAAATAAACAGGTAAACACGATAAAGAGAAAACTAATATCTGACAGATTGCAACAAAACTAATACAGTACCTAAGGAACTTTGCAAGACTTGAGTAAGCTTGCTGTTCCTATATGGCACATGTGAACTTTTTTGCGAAAGAGCAAATATCACATCTCCCAGAGCAGATAAAGACTTGTTGATATGTTGTGCTTCCCTGAGCCTATCTCCAGTTACTTCAGAGCGGTCAACTCTCTCACTTCCAGCAAGATCGACCAAATTAAGAGAACTGCGAAGTGTGGCTCCGGTCTTTAAATCAGCACCTCTCACATGAACAGTCACAATGCTGTAACATAAAATTTGGTCAAAGATGAACAAGAAATGATCTTCTGAGATGCACATATATATCATAAAGCAAACCTGTGTGACCGACTACTTCTTTCATTGAGAGCCGTGGCACCAACAGCCCTATTCGCCAATCCAATTTGCATCAATTCTAACACATCAGAGGTAGAGTTTACAAGATGTAAACTTGCATCAGGAACAGCAAGACCATTAGGCTGAGAGCTATTCATGACTCCAAGCGTGTTCAGGTTAAGGAGGGAAAAAATGCTAAGGGAAAAAATCCATCAAGCTCTATCCATTTGTGAAATTGCATGATGCTAAACTAGAAGAAAATCATTATCAAAGTTTTACCATTGTATGGTACAAGTAATTTGGATAGAGCATATAAATAACTTGGGTCACTTTACATGAACAATTTTTTTATTAATCAGAGTAAGGAATCACGCAAGCACACACCACACACAGCACATGTATATGTATTGTGTCAGTGTATGTTTAATATACTGGGTAAGACTTTAAGCTTCCCTGAGAACAACTAGAAGTCTATTTCCATTTACCAAAAAAAATGGTGGGTCACCCTAATGGATGGTCAATACCGTTCACGTTGATCTAAAATATCATAAAATGTACATAAACAAAGCATATGCTCTGAAGATCTTCAACTAATTCATCCAGTGGTTGTAAAACTTATTTTAGCACAATTAGAATCATTGGATAAATTTGAAAATAGCCCACATCATATGTTTTATTTTCATTCATTTTATGACATGATAAACAACATAAGTAAAACACACACATACATACATGCATATGTATTAACTAGATGTCCATCCTGAGTGTTTTCGTCAGAACTTCATAATGGGCCATCATATAGATGATTCACACAGTTCCTCTTGTGCAATAAATCGAAATTAGCCTAAGAATGAGGGTCAAATTATTTAAGACGACCTTAAGTGTCATAATTAAGTTGCGAAAACACTTCGAAGTAGGAAGAAGAACAGTATTTTATGCATGGGTAAAAAGTTTTGAGATTTCAAGAATGCTAATTTTAAACTATTTTGGACGCACAGATTAATATGAAGAATACATCCCAATACAAAGCAGACATGGAATTTCATAAATGCTACTCGAAGATAATTCTTTCTAATTTTAAACTATTTTTAGTTTTGGTTGTCAAGGTCTCTCCTTGCTCTCCTTAAGTCTTAGTTTTTCCCCATCTTCTTCACATAGTAGTGCAGTTTTAACATAATCTGAGGTTCAGTTCCATGTTCTTCCATTCATCCTACATAACCTAAAGTCAAACCAACTTTTTATTATTATCCTTTAATCTATACCGGTTAAGAGGTCAAAGGGCGTTGTTGGCATCACCGTGAAATGATTCAAGGGCTTTTAGTTAATAATGGAACATTCTTCGCATTTAGGACGAATATTACCTAGAGGAACTCTATATAAGAGGAGCCTGTATTGTGAAGGCCTATATCTAATTATAAAATTCTTGAGAAAGGGGGTTGCGAGATGGCTAATATCCAAGTAAGACATTTGTCAAGGTTTGCACCCTAAAGCATCTTAAATAATTTAAATTATTGTTTAAGCTCTTAATATTTAAATACATTGATAATCTTATTCACAGTCATAAATGCACATCCTTATTATTATAAGTGTGTTCCTTTGTAGGCTGGTCAAAATTGCTTAACATGTGAATTAAGTGTAAAATTTGTGCAAACAGATATCACAATATAGTAACTTTCACCGCCTCAATAGAACTTAAAAGCAGATTTAGTGGAATTGGGCATACATAGATGAAAGGATATTTCTTTTGTGATGCATCATTTACAAGGAGATCCTGTACTTTCTCATTATATATCTCAACCATCTGAACGCCAACTTCATACATGATAGAATTTCTCCTACTCCGTGAAATGTTAAAAAGGTCATTCAGCGCTCGGTAGTTGACACCCCAATCCTCTTTAGTTGACAAATTAGGTCCAGTCTAGAAAATTACAAGTAACAAGTTCAATATGAATAGAACAGTACAGAATTTGATCTATAGATATAATTAAAACACAAAGAATTACCATCGTGTAGGTTTTCCCCGAGCCAGTTTGACCATATGCAAAAATGCACACATTATACCCATCTAGAACTGACCGTATTAAGGGCTGAATGTCTAGGAAAATTTCCTCTGCAATTGAATAATTAAATTGAACATGTCAATTAGAAATAGGTTAGTAGTACCAAAAGTCATGACCTATGAGTACAACTTCTAGGTATACAAACATAAAAATTTACAACACCTGATAAAGTAATAAGAAATATACATTTAACAGCCATAAAATAGAACCTTGAGTAGCAGCTGGACCAAAGACCCTGTTGAACTTGAATGAGTGATTACCATCCTTTCCCTGTTTGAAAGGATTTACCAAGAGAAGTTCACCATTCTCACCAATATAATCTATTGTTGTTGATTTTCTGTTTTCTCCAGACAGGAATGGTCTTATACGACAGTAAACTCGGATATTTCCTAATAAAAAAATTAAAGCAAACTGAATAAGGAAATAATATGAAAAGAACAAACAGGTTAAAAGAAAAAGCAACATTAAAATGCTAAAGGGGTACCTTTTAATTCTTGAACCTCATTAAATAGTTTACGGTTTTCAGCAAGAACTACATGATAGTTTTCAGCAGCATCAGTCAATACTTTCAGTTTTTTTCCTTCACAATGCACAAGTGGAAGACACCATATTAAAAAGGGAGTTACCTACATTTTCAGATGATAAAAGTGTTGCATAGACAGCCTTACCTAAGCTAGAAAACTCTTCTGTCCATCTCTGTTTTGTACTTAGAACCTCGTCTTTTATGGACTCGGAAGATGCCTTCAGATCCTGCAGTAGGTATCTAAGCTCATGATTTTTAAGTACCACAAAGAAACTGCAATATTATAGATATCCATACCTGCACTCTACCCAGTTGTCTGTTCATGATATTCTGGAAGACATATTTGTTCCCCAAGTTTCTTGCTCTCTTCAATTTTGCTTTTTTCTGTCTGTTGCCAGTGAGAAGAAAGAAACCAATTACATGGGATAGATAGTTACTACCAAATGAGTATGTTAAAGCTGAATATCTTGAATTATTGGAAAATCTAAAAATTATAGGAGCTAGCTGGTTCAAATAACCTGTTCTTCCAAAAAAGATAAAAGGCTTTTTTTCATTCACATGTATGCAAATTATTACACTGCTTAAATAATAAATACCTAAAGAAAAGGAAGGTAGAAGAACTTTTAAAGTTTAAACAGCTTATAGATCTTTAACAGTTTAGCTTTCACCAAACAAGATCATATTCGGTAAAGATGGTTACAGTGGTATGATTATATCATCTACTTAAACAAAAAGAAAACGAAAAATAAACACTAAAAGTGCAGGTGTACACAGAAAATAAATGTAAAATATGGATGTATTTCCTTCAGATAACACAGATTAAAAAGGTTATTTAACCAGAAAAAGAAGAACTAAGAAAGGTGAAATGATAAATGAACCAAGGTTTTAAATATCGGCCAATAAATCGATATTATCGGCGATTTATCGGTTTTGAGGCCCTTCCGTTATGATAAGTTCAAATTTTAATTGGTTATCATTTTGGGGTAAATACCGACGATAAAGCGGCAATAAGATGATAAATCGGCTGAGTTTAGCGGTAAAAATTATTGGAATTATCGGTTAGTGATCTTAAACATGTGTATTTACATTTGGTTAGTGATATTAAACATGTGCATTTACATTTTGGTATGTTTATATTTCATTAAGTTTCTACAGTTGGTTAGTTTATCTTGTTATTTGTTTGTATGTTTTTCAAGATTATATTTTAGGATACTATATTATGCATGCATACCCTTCGATATGACACTCTGATGAGTACTACTTATTTTCGTTATCCAATATGGATTTTGACTGTTCGATAAATCCCCAATAAACGATATTTAAAACCTTGAAATGAACCTTGATAAGCTACAAAAGGAAGAAAAGGAAAGGTAAAATGATAAAATGCACATGGTAAACAGAAAGCATTTCATATGGTGTGCTTCCTAAATGAATTAGAAATGCCAATTAAACATAAAAAGGTTAAAAGAAATGAAAAGGTAACAAGTATATCACTAGAATAGTACGTTCCAAAAGAGAAATAAACCTTGACATACTGGAGCTTGTCCATGATAATCTGAAAAGAAGCAAATATGTGTCAGAAGCAATGAAACCTCGGATACTAGAGAAGCTTTAATACCACAAGGGCCTCATGTCATGGACTATATATAATAGTCCAAATGTACCTTCGCTTCTTCACTTGACCCGCTTGCTAGAGTTTCAAGTGCTCTGATCCTTGACTGGAACTTCCTTTCCCGTGCTTTAATGAGATTGTTTTGCTGTAAGAGGATGAAGAAATGATAAAAATAATTTTTAAGATAATAAACATGAAGAATTGTAACTTACTTTTCGTATATGTTCTGCCTGAGTTGAAATACGCCGCTCAATCTCTTGCACGACTTTTTTCAATAAGCATGCTACGCGCTGAAATAGAGGACATAATTGGCTCAAGATATAAACTATAGCCAGATAAAAGATGTAATATAGGTACAGAATCAGTGCACCAAAATCTATATGTGTTTGAGCATGAAAGCAACAGGTGCAAACTCTTAATAGCATACTTGAGGTATTTCTCCACTCTTCCTCTCAATACTTTCATCAAGAATCCCATTCATAACACTCAAAAGTGACTGTGTTGGGGCACTCTGCAGACAAGAGATGCAATTATGAGGATCTCTTCATGTAACGGTAATGTAAAAGGGAATAAAACTTGATGTAAGAGGAAGACCACGTATGGTAAGTGAATAAGCTTACTTCTAAACTATTTGACTTCATCATCTCTGAAATCTTTGATGCAGGAAGATCAGAATACCGCCCTTGTTTTAGTTGGAAAACCTCATGAAACTTGTCAACAGCATTAGATGATAGAGGAGTCGTTGGCTCTAAAAAATAATTAAAAATGGTTAAATTAGATATGCACCTTCTTTTTTTCCTTTTTTTTTTTTAAGACACTGACAGGCATACCTAGGTCCAAAGAGGAAGAAAGAAGAATAGGGGAAAGAACCTGATAAGTGCTCATGCAAGAGGTTAGGATAAGTTCCCACAATCTGAGCTTCCTACGTTCATAAGTACTACAGTGAAAGTATACTAGAGAAGTTAAGAGAAATTTGTTTAGTCCCAAATTGGAAAAGTACATAATTATATTATGTTTACTTTCCTATACATGACACCAACTATCCATATCTAGGATCAAGCCACTTCCCCAACACAAAAATAGAAATCCAAAAATAACATATTAAGGACCTTGTTTCCAGAGGCACTTGAGTTTGTTTCCTAAACGATTTGCAATAGCAAATTGCACCGGAATAAAATTCATAAGCATTTTTGGCCAATAGGATGTAAATGGATAGATAAATTTGTTAGAATCGGGTGTAGACCAAACTCACCTCCGCAGGCGAGCTTTGGGGGATGACGCTGGTAAGCTCGAGGCGGATCAGAGGCGAGCTCAAGGCGAGCTCGAGCTCAGTGGCTTCAGGCGAGCTCGTGGGCGATGAGGTCCAGGCGGAGATCCAGGCGAGCGCGAGCGTGGGCGACTCCTTTGCAGGCGAGTTCGAACGAGTGGAACCGGCGAGCTCAACAAGTTGCAGGCGAGCTCGGGGTCCAGCGATTCATTGCAGGCGACCTCGTGAGCT